ATCACTAAACACTAAAGAATAGAACTATTGTTTTAAATAGTTAGCCAAGTTATTTTATAACAACTTTCGCAGCATGTTTTCACACATCTAAGAATGCACAATTTTTAGGATACCAAAAATCAATTGCCAATTTTGGCAGAAAGCAATTTTTATCAAACAATTCAAATAAATTAACCTAGCAATTTGTATATAACCGAGTCAGTAGTCATTGTAACAGATGTTTTTTTGTTGAGAGAAGTTATTTATTTTGTCAGTTGTGTGGTAGTCATGTTAATCAACATTTTAAAATGAATAAATATTCAACATAAAATAATATTATTATATTGATACATTTTTCATTGGTTTTAGCAGGGCAATCATAGACAACTAACAAGTACCATAATTGTTTGTAGGTTACATAATAGTCATAATAATACGAAAAATACTTACATTTAATCTAGTGTTGTATCTTCTTCTGGTATGTTTAAGTATTGAATTTGAAGGCTTCAATTTAAAATCATGTACTGGGTAATTAATATGAGATTCTTCCAAAGTTGTAGCTGGAGTAACAAAATGTGGCCAACCTAACCATTGTTGATTACTAATAGGTAATTTAGTCAAGTTTGCAACAACTTCTTTCACTTGTGCAACTGTCTGATCAGATGAGAATGACAATTTATAAACTTGATATTCACTTGAAGTTGTAGCCTCCATTGTTATGTTTAGAGTGAATATTCGCAAGTTAGCTCTTAAAACAGTAGTAAAAGAAATATTAAATTAACTAGATAATATAATCAAAATATGAAATTAATAGATATAAATATTATACCTTCCATTAAGCTCTTGATTTAAATCTTCACCACTAATAAGATTTAGCTTAAATCTATCTGGAAGGTTCAATTTGGAAAGTGTATCTTTATTGGAAGGGAGTTGATTATTTGGCCATCCATTAAAGTTTTGTAGGCAACATGGAATCTTACTTTCAGCGTAGACTAATGTTTTTAAATCATCTAAAAAAAAATATGATATTAATTAGGTGTAAGCAATCTAATTGTTTAATATATAATATTTAAAACATTGCATAGGTAATTACACTAACAAATTATAAGTTATATAGATTAAAGAGCTTGATTAATAAAAATACTAAAAAAAATTAAGAAAACATGGGAATTAGGTATTATATTTTTCTATAGAAGGGAACTAATAAAAGTATTAAAACTGTTAACTGATTACCTACAATTTTTAAATGAAAGTAGTCTCGTTAATTATGTCCTTTAACAAAGAATTGGGTTATGTATGTAGTGTGTATAAATAGAAGTCACTAAATTTAAAACATTTGAATTAGATATAAATTATTTCAACTTTAGCAACAATTGTAGAAGTACAACTTTTTTTGAATACCTATTGTTTATGAAAATAGTTTATCTATATAAATAAAATATTTATGAATAAATTGATTTTATAAGATTAAGGGCAAGTTGTACAGTCTGTGATTAAACTCCGATTACGCTTAATCAGCTGATAACAGATATTTAACTGGTCAAATTCGGCCGGTTAAACTGTGATTAACTTTAATCACAGACTGTACAACTGGCCCTAATAAATAGTTAAAACTGAAAATAAATTAGGATTAGTAATTACCAATTGTTGAAGCATCGTTGACTTTTAATGTGGCAATAATATGGCCATTTTGTTCAATCTCTATGGTAATTAAACGGTGAGTTTCATTTGACGTTGACGCAGTCATTCCTCTGAAATCGTCTGCAATCATTACAGATGGTGCGCCTAGACGTATACGGCGTCCTTCAGAAGGCAAGCGTTGAGTGTGTTGTGGCATGACATGCTGGACAGCGGCCTAAAAAAATAACAGATAGAGTGGATTTGGCAAAGCCATTACAAATACCATGTTTCAGTGGAAAACTCGAGTACTTACCAGTAAGTCCCAATTGAAATTCGACAAGTGCATCAAAGCTTCGGCTGCATTGTCGATACCAGTGATGGCCTGTATTACAACAAGACAACAACGTTAGCAGGAGGTCGGTGGGTGTCTTTGTTCCCTACGTTCGGGGAATACATTACCTGAAAATCGGCTACAATGCCGTTTTTGTCGTCCATGTTGCAACGAGACGATAAAAGTGGCGTCGATAAAACGAAAAAACCACTAGCTGTATCAATCAGATATGACGGATATCACTATGTCTGGTAACGCTAGCGACGGGGCCCGTGTCGCTGGACGATAGTTTACTCGCGGGTACAAAATCGGCCACGGGCGACGTAGCAATCAACGCCCGACGGACAAAACTGGGACGTTTATATCACTCGTGCGACTAACGATATGGAACAGTGTGACGTGCTGCGAATTGTAGTCTACACTCAACGACGAACGCGGACCACTGCTGCGACTAAACTATTATTATTATTATTAAAGTTTAAAATTATTACACTTCCAGCGAACACGGCACTAGCATCGACGTTCGACAGAGAATAGAGACTACTAGACTAGAGCTGTGGCGCACAGTGCACACACTACACACAACGGGAACGGCGGGAACACGGACTAAGGTATACAGGACTGGAATCGACATTGCCGGGGGGTAGTAGAAGGCCGGTCCTCAAATGTTTCTAACGGTACAGGTGTGGTTACTAGCGCATTCTACTATTCTAGTAGCGTATATTGGCAACGTACTAAAATAATTATTTTTGAAATAATAAAATATAAATATAAAATTATTGAAATTGTATTTATGAAACCTAATCTTAGTGGTTACTGGCTATTATATTTTGTAGACATATCATCAGACTTAAGTGACTGTCGTAACGTTGGTTTGTGGATCATCTGATTTTAAAATGCCTCGTCAATGTTCGGTGATTTCGTGTTTGAGTATTAAAAGCAAACAAGCTGTTCAGTTGTTTAAAGTTCGAGACTCAGATTTTTATGCTTGGAACGAAATTATTCGAAAAGTAAATGGTAATTTGAATCGTAAAGTGGTTTATGTCTGCGCTGAGCACTTTTCTAATGATGATTTGATAACTCATTATAATGGACCTAATGATTTGGAAAAAGTAAAATTAAGAATTTTACATAATATTTGAATATATTTAAATTTTAATATTTTATATTTCTATAACATAATTATTCTACCTATAGGTTAAAAGACATTTGGTTGGGTTAAGGAAGGGAGCTATTCCATCAATATTTGATACATCAATTGATAACACTGAAAACCATAATACTGTAACTCTTGATTTACCAGACCGTCCAGACCCATCCGGAAAAAGTACATTAACTACTGAACCATTTAGAAAACAGTTGTTTATTGAACCTATTGCTAAACGAATATGTCTTAATTCACAGATCCTAATACAAGTTTGTTAATGACTTATGATTATTTCACCCAAAAATAGTCTGTCTAGAACTATAGACTATTGTATAAATTTTAATACTCATAAGCACTAATTAACTATTGTTATTTATTTAGGAAACATTTACCAGTTATGAGGAATTATTAATGTCAGTTGGTTGGATGTTGTACCGTGATGAATGTATAGTGTCTTTGTATAAACCAATTAAATCTGAATGTGGTAGTGAAATGAAAGTGGTCATTCAGAAACAAATTGTTTTTCAATCTAATATTTTAAAAATAAGCTATTATGTCAATCAAAAATGTAGAGATCCTAAAGTATTAGGTCTATCACAATTGACATACCCATTAGATTTTATGAAAATTAATGAAACTATTAAATTGTTTGAACAGAAACAAATTTGTCAAGGTGGTCCAAGTGTCATCAATTTTCCTGGTACCTATATATTTCTAATTGCTTAATTAATAATTAATATGTTTCTACATAATCTTAAACTAAATATTTTGTATTTAGGAATTCATATTAAAAACACTAATTTAGACGGTTCAATATGGCGCCATAACGAATGTTCAATTCTTACTAATTCTACAAAAAGATGTCAATGATGTAATTTATTATTTCCTTACTTTAGGGTATATAGAAAAAGGTCATCTATTATAAATAAAACAAATATTGGCTCTACTCTGACTCCTACTAGACGAAGTATATTAAAACAAATTTTAAGAAAAACAAAAATGGTTAAACAATTCAATAAAAGGTGAAAAAGTGTGAAAGAAAATAATATTTACAATAACTATGCATTCACCATATTTGTTTATTAAAGGTTTAAAATAACAGTAGAACAATTGAATGTAACATTGAATGAAGTACAATGTAAATCAAAAAATTTGACAAATGAATCTGTAGCTGATCTATTTGAAAGTAACAACTTGAATACATCACAGAAAACAATTATTCAAGAAATTATCAATGCCAGTAAAGTCATGAACACTAAAAATAGGAGGTATTCAGAAAATTGGATACTATTATGCATCTTATTGAAAATTAGGTGAATAATTTACCACTTAAGGTAATATTAATTTATGACTAACATTTTTTTTTTTTTTTGACGTTGATAGATCTTCCACTACTTACCGATTTTTAAGAGAACAAGAAGTATTACCTCTACCATGTCCAAGAACTATTAGAAAATATTTATCAATGATAAACATTCAATGTGGTTTTGACAAGAAATTTTTCCAAATATTAAAAAAAAAATTGGTATACTTAGATTCGAACAAAAACATGGTTTGTTAGTTTACGATGAAATGTTTTTAAGAGAAAGTCTTAATGTAAACTCTCAGACTCTCGCTTATTGAGGATTGGAAGATTTTGGCAGAGAAGTAGATTCTTCTGAATTAAAAGCTAATCATGCATTAGTTTTTATGTTCCAAAGTTTAGCTTTAAATTTTGCTCAACCTATTGCAGTTTTTGCATCTCATGGTCCAGTTAAAGGTATTAAAATTGAAATACTGTAATCGTGTTATTTGTTTATCAGATTACTAATAATATTGTTTTGACAAACTAGTAATAATTTAATAAACAACCAAAAAACATTAGTATAATATTTAACTTTGTGATTTAATTGTATTTGCTTTATTTTATGTGTTAGATGTTAGTTGTATGTTACTGTGGACTGCGGTAGGTACATACATTTTTATGTTTTTAAATATTAGGAACTGTATGTGGTTAATTATTGAATGTTGCATGATTTTAATATACCGTCTTAATATATTGTAATAATATCTATGTTATAATGGTATATTTCTAGATTATAGGTATTTTGCTCTTTTGTTTTATTTGTGTGTTTCTATATGGTAAATTTATTTGTGTTCCATGTTTGGATGTCCAGTACTTTTGCTTACCTACGTTGGATATTTTAATATTACTTTTATTCTATTTTAAACAAAATACATTTATATATAACAGTTCGAAATAAATTTGCCTCGCAGTGTGGAGTGTGGTACAGACTAGAAATATTATCTTTATTGCTATAAATTATTATTGTCATTATTATACTATATATGTATATATAATATATTTATATATACTATCTTTATTACTATAAGTTATTGTTGTCATTATTATACTAAATATATATCATATCATTATATCGCAGTAATCCTTATATAGGACAGCGTTCTGTTATGAGCGCCTAAAAGGCACATACCTACGATCGTTATATTACTTACTATAATATAGTACGTATATACTATAGATAGCGTCTATATTACCAATACTATGTCGGTTATAAAATGTTAAATTTTGTGGTTATAACAATTTACTCACTGCTCATTATTATTATTTATTTACTTTCCTACACTTTAACACACAAAAATGTACAACAGTTAATATTAATAGCTTTTAAAAACACTATAGATGGTCTTATTTCAGATTTTGGAACATTTACATCATTCATCCTTAAAGAAACATACTGATCACATATTATTAGCATTAAAGGGGATTTGTATTTTTTATGCTATTGTCACTAAAAATTTGCCTCCCTATAATGGTTTTAACAAGTTACAAAACCCCCTCCAAAATTCTCTAAATATTAAATATAATAATAGATAATAGTACTATTTAATGTATATCAAATTTTAATGAAAACCTATAATAAATATTTGTATGAATTTTGAACCATCTTTATAAATCAAAATTAAAACCACCGTTTGAGACATTAAGTAAGAAATTTTTAATTGTTGAGCTATTTTTTTTTTAAAAAAAAGTAAAAAATTACAATTTATAATATTTTTATAATACTTTCATTTACAATATTGGGTATACAAAACAGATATTATGAAAATATTTTTATACAAAAATGTTTAACTAAGTTGTTTTAATTTTAGAAGTTGACCTCTTGCTTTCTTAGTACTTATTATACTCACCTAGGTGCTAGATAGGTACTTTCTTATTGATTTGTAAAATACTGAGTCACAAAGCACACACAACGGTCTCTTAAACACAAACCGGACAAATAAAAAACAATATAATAATTATTACAGACTCATGTGTTTGATTATTGTTATTGTTACCCTTCAAACAAGACAGGCGCCGAATATACCAAGGGATCCAAACTTGTTAAGTTTAGTATTATCAAAAATTGTTTTCTATACAATGCGCATGACACACATAGATTATTTTTACAAATTTAATATTTATTAGGAAAATAAATTATATTGAGTCAAATAGATATACCATATACATTAAAATAATATATAAATATAAATATATACATTGCTGTTTATTATACAATTATTTTTTGTAAAGAAAAAAGTAAGTATTATTAATTTTCTATTTTTTTTATACTTATTTTCACTTTAATAAAGCATTACAGAATTTGTTAACACCTACATTTTGCCTCCCTGCCTATCTAATGTGAAATACGCCTTTAATTAGCATACATCATAAAATATTATATTAATATGAATAGATGTGCTAGTAAACGGGGATGTCAATGGACCAGCCGACAAGATAAATTAATAACAAAAGTAAAAGAAAAAATGAAGAATTTTTTTTTGTGACTACCTATACTGAAATTTGAATAACTCTTTGATAACTTAATATTTTAATATTACTTCTATTCTAAACATAGACATTTACACATAACAATTCGAGGATATCTGTTTCGGTGGTAGGACGGCAATTACAATAATTATAATTACAATAAATTTATCTCACAGTGTGGCGTGTGGTATAGAAATATTATTTTTACTACTATAAGTTATTATTGTAATTATTATACTTCATATTTATAATTTATGTATAATATCAATATATCACAGTAATTCGTATATAGTACAGCGTTCTGTTATGAGCGCCTAAAAATATACACATACCTACGAGTCTACGACAGTACGACTTCTGAATTATTTACTATAGCTGAATCGTGCTATTATATCATTGTTATGAGGTGACTTACGGCTTGTCGCTATCAACTAAACTGTTCTCAAAGAATGTGTTTTAGTTTTCGAATTCACAGTTTCGATGAAAATATGACACACAATACACACGCAAGCTGGGACAGAAAATGTTTCTGATCTTCGCTAGTACACGTTGACGCACACTTATATATATTAGTACTGTTATTTGTTTATCATTTTAGGCCGGGAACGAAAATCGTTGGGTTAAGTGTAGATGTGACATAATTTTATACGACGTATGATTCCAAACTTTTAAAGGTGGATATTTTCCCACAAAGTTATCGATTCTACTATCTAATATAATACTATTCGTTTGGTCGGTTACCGATTATCAATACAAAACCAATCGGTTTTTGAACTGCAACGTACATTGAGATAGATTATATAAAATATATATTATTTATTAAATTACATATTTTATAAGAAGAAAAATATTGTTCTCCTCATTCAGTAGGGATAATGTTCAAAATGTTCAGGAGGAGTTTGAAAATCAAAAGTATTTGTGCAGTTTAGATAAAAATGCATGGTATATACTATGGTTTTACTTAGTCAAGAAGAAGGAAAAAAAACCAAAATAAATTAAGACCAATCTCATTCTGATTCTATAATATAATAATGTACTTTAAAGGTTTAGAGTAGGCGGCACCCACGAAAAATATTTTTAAACTACCGTAAAATAACTAAAATTGATGAAAATATCAATTATACACCCTTTATAATGTATTATAACACAAGTTTAAATAATACTTACTGAAATGTAAGTACGGGTGTGTTTAATAATTTAAGAAAACGCTATACTCCGTGCTCATAAATTATCAAAATGTTGATATACCATATTATTATTATTATTATTATTATTATTATTATTATTATTATTATTATTATTATTATTATTTATTATTAATAATCTGCAGACCAAATATTTTTTATTTATATTCAAAACTGGATAAAATAGAAGTTATAAATAATTTTAAAAAAACAGTGGTCCGAAAATAATAAAATCTATTTACCGTGTTTTAAAGTGTACTGTTGTAAACATGAAAAATATTATATACCTATATTATGTATATGTATTATGTACTATACCAGGGATACGATGAAGATCACATGCGGACATACATAATACATTAACAGATAATTATCTTTAAAGATATCAAAAATATCAAATGTATGAAATATAATGGTAGGTACATGTTTTACTTAAAAAAAACTTTATTCATCTTCTTAAGAGGACGTCATGCCCTCATGTGTGCATCTTACAAGTGCGTAACATATCAAATCTTACGTTCAGCAGATTACGTTTAGCTCTGAGAGTTTAAAAATTATAGTGAATTGACCTCTTATTAAAATTAAACGTAAGATTATTATGGAGGGCATCTTCATAATGCCCAAACAATTTACAATTTTAAAATTTACATAACTCAAAACAATCAAGGCCGTAACTGGAACAAATTTTTTTTTTGTGGGGGGGGGTGTGTTGAATCAAATAATAGCCACGGAAATCATTTAAACCAATTTAATTGAAATTTTAAATTCTATTTCCCGACATAGGAAACGTAAACTTCTCATCAGGTACCTAAACATTAGTAAAATAGTAAGTAACTTATATTTTATAATTTATCACTAACCTTTTGATCTAATCCAGCGTTTCCTAAACTCTTGTTTGGGCTGGCCCGGTAATTTATATTTTTCACCTTCGTGACCCACCAAAATATTTTACATTTATCATTATGTTGTAAAAGGCAAAATAAAACACATTTGAATCATTCATCATCCCGTCTATTTGACTTCTTCTTCGTACTTTAAATTATCAGTTTAAATTATCAAACGAAAATGATAAATAACAAATTTAATTTGAGAATTTCATTAAATTCTGCGACTCGGTATTAAATTTTGATGGCCCAGTAGTGGGTCGCGTTGGATTCTAATCAATATCAATATCAGTAATATCATTTGCAGATTCTGTTGTAGTTCGTATATGTGTAATTATTGAAGTCGATGTAGAACTTGTGATTGTTTCGTTCTCTATTGTTTTAATTTTTTTACGAAAATAACTTGAGATTGAATTATTGAGCTTACGACGAGTTGACATTTTATTGAAATAATCAAATAAAAAATTATTCAGAGATATTAGTGGGTAGCCAATACTTTACACAGCGCGTAACAACTGATACAAATTTGTTCCTAAATATCTTTACTGTTGATGTTGAACTTATTTAATGTGTATGACAAAATTATTAATAACGCTATTACTATGTATATACTGACAATACCATGGGGTTTTTCGAGATAAAATGGCAATACGGCCGATAATTTATTGTTCGATAATATATTGTAGGTATTTATACACGTTTCGTCCGTCAACAAAACGTTTTTAACCGCGTGTGACTTATCTATGTTTAATATAATAATACTCTATCCAGTGCGGAGATGGTGGCGCGAAGTTAAGTAAAAAAAAAGCGGAACGGTCACGGCCGTATAGTTAGTAGTACATTACACGAGCCAGAGTTTGCCCATTGAATGTGTGAAAAATTTGCCCATTTTCTTTAGCCAGG